GGATATCTGCTGGCACAGAAAGGAATCAAATGCAGAGGAGTTTTCTGAAGAACAAGCTCCAGGGATTGTGCAACATGTGCAGGAGGTCAGGACAGGGTTTTCAGGGGTAGAGGAACACCACCAGCAGAACAGAGACCGCCTTTGCATTGTCCCTTCTACCTCAGCGCTCTGTAACCACATTGAAAATAGCTGTATACAACTGTATCTGAGTTGAACTTTCATTTCTCAACACCAAAAACCAATGATTAACTTCCACGAGGAAGACAGAACTCTTTGGCATATTTATAAGCCTCCATTTATTTGGATCTTGTGAAAATATGGCAAAACACCACTATGCCCATCTTTCTGCATATCTTCTTTAGAGCCTGCCTTTGCTGGACTGTCTACCCTTCCTCTCTGCTTGACTGTCTATCTTTCCTTACGTTACATTGTGAGGTCCTTTATAGCCATGGAAAAATGCTTTCACAATTATTTAGTGATCAGTATGCTTTTCAAATTTGATTTAGGCTCTTAATCAATGAAGAATCAGAGAACGCCAATGACACTAGAGCCACAAAACTGCCTGTAAAAGTTCTAGGAGTTTGCTCTTCCAGAAAGTTCTTGGGTGTCTCTGGTGTGTAGAACACAGAAAAACATGAAAATTTATAACTTACAACTATTTCTAATATTGTATAAACAAGCCTGAGTCAGGCAGCGCTGCATTTTATCTTGCTTGGGAAAAGTGTAGAGCAGTTGATTGAAGTCACAGAACCACAGACTGGTTTGGGTTGGAAAGGATCTTAAGATCATCCAGTTCCAACCCTCTGCCATGGGCAGTGACACCTCACACTAGACCATGCCACCCAAGGCTCTGCCCAACCTGGCCTTGAACACTACCAGGGATGGAGCATTCAGCTTCTTCGAGCAATCCCTTCCCTTGCCTCACCACCCTTACAGTAAAGAACTTCCTCCTTATATCTAAGCTGAACTTCTCTTGTTTAAGTTTGAACCCATCATCTCTTGTCCTATCACTCCAGTCCCTGATGAAGAGCCCCTCTCCAACATCCTTGCAGAGAATTCAGTTAAGTTGGATTAATTAACTTGAAGTGAAGGAGATGATGATTGAAAATTCAAATTTCACAACATAGAATGGAAAACCTGTGCTATTCACTTAGCAGCTCGGTCAAGTGGCACATATTGAAAGCAAGTGGGTACATGTATCTCCATTCCCGCAAACAGGAATCTATTTGTCAGCTTAATGCCTGGTTCAGTGATATATAAAATGCCTTTACGTTTTCTCACAGGAACTTGGAAAAGAAAACACTCAGCATTAAAACAACCCTCGAACATGCTGCTCTCCAGTGTACAATACAAAATAAAAGTGCACATCAAAGTTCCTCTGGTTAGAACAGGGACACTTCTTGGGAAGGAGGAGACACAGCTTCCCAAGGGAAACGACAGAATCAGGACTCAAATACCCCTGAAGCAGTACTGGAGGGGGAACTGGATGAAGTTGAGTTATCATGGTTTAGTGTGAGGTGTCCCTGCCCATGGCAAGGGGGTTGGAACTGGATGATCTTAAGGTCTTTTCCAACCCTAACTATTCTATGATTCTAGCACACTGGTGTTGATATCTGGGCTAGGAACAACTCTGAGAGGATGCATGGACATCCAGTGTGGAGGAATGACCAAAGAAAAGCTAGTTAGAAAATTTAAAAGGAAGGATAGTCCAATGCCTATGGCTTTTTCTTTAGATCCCGCTAATAATATTGGGTCTAGTCCTCTCAGAGTAAGCTTCAAAATATACATATTAGTGGTGTAAAGCCTTTAAATATCCTGTTGGATGGAATGTTTCCTTCTAGTGGTCAGGGCACCAAACCTGACAGAGATTAAGGACTGTCTGGATGATGCTCTTAGTCGTATGATTTAGTTTTAGATAGTCCTGTGAGGAGCAGAGAGTTGGACTCGATCCTTATGGGTCCTTTCCAACTTGAGGTGTTCTGTGATTCTGTAATTCTTTTCCAGCCATCAGTCCTTGCCCAGTATGAATGTCACTTATAAATAATTTTGGTTATTGCAGATCTATTTGCCAAAAAAAAAAAACCTCAGCCATGAGAAACTTTTCCCAGGTCAGGATTCCTATAAATCCCCTATTTGGATTCATGTCTAGTTTAAATCAGATCCATTCCATTTCAGTTAAAGAAATCACCTGTCAGTCCTGCTACATTTTAGATGAATAACATATAAATAATAACCTACATGCAAACCCCTAATGGAAGAAGAGCTATAAACTATTCATGGGTTATCTGCAGATGGGCAGATATACTTCTGGAAAGCATACAGGGGGTCTATAGATCATACAGACACTCTGACCTGAAATCCCATCTAAAGAAGCTACCACTGCCACAGTTCACCACTGATCAGCCACTGAAAGCCTGTCATGCGCTGGTAGACAGTGATGGATAAATTGCTTTCTTCATATGCTTTGCTCACAGTATTCCTGATATATCACAGCTTGAGCAAGACTTCCAGTGAAGGCTTGCAGGCAAGCAAACAGCAATCATTTAAAGCTGTCAGGAAGAGAATCAGCTATAAGCAAAGACAGCTGCCTGCAGCATCACACCCAAGAAAACATTTGGGTCCTTGCGGTACTTGCTGGAAATCCAGACAATGCCCCTGTCCAAAATCAATTACTTGCTACTGACCACAGGAAACTTAACACACAAAAAAATGGCAAACCGAATTAAGCCATGAAGAAACCCCACACTGAGGGATGTGGAAAAAATACGGAGAAAAAAATAGAGGAAATAATGTAAAAAAAAACAGGAAAACAGTGAAAAGAAATGGGTTAAAGTATTAGAATTGGTTTATGACACCAAGGAATTTAGGATTTATGTTTTGTGGTGCTGAGGATTCTACTGAAGGCACCATCCTAGGTACAGAATTTTATCTACACACCAGCTTCATTTTCCTTTTGCTACCATGGCCATGGCCCCATTTCTAAGTAGGAGAAACTGGGAAAACACAGGCAAGTGCAATATCATGACTCAGGGGTGATATTCCTATTACCTGATACACCATTCCGATCCTTCAAACAATGAAAACTACACCATTTTTTGGACCAGAGATGCGTTTCAGATTTCAGATTGCCTTTATCACATAAACCAACATAATCAGAATTAAAGAGGCACACTTTTGTCAATTTATTCTTTCGTCAAAAAAAACCAAGCTCTGCTTGCTTAATCTTGTTCTCTCTCCAAATCCTGCCTCGATCTCTTCCTTAGACCATCACTGTAATAACAGTGTTGTTGCTGCTATAGAAAATGTCCACCGACTCAGCACACCGACACTTGGAAAGGTGTCTATTCAGGATGGTTTATAACTGACAATGTTTTTACGAGATGCTGAAGGGCACTTCCTTCTGTAAGATACCGGGTTGCTGAGTCTTCCTTCTTTCTATTCACTATGTGAAGGTGCACATTTCCTGCTTTGTTTGGGGATGAAACAAAGAGGCATTTACGTTACCTATTGTGTTGTAATGGGTAAACGTCAGTTAAAAAACTGCATGGTAATGCAAATCTTGAAAGAATTGTTCTTTCCAAGTGCTCTGAATGTTGCTCTTATCCTTATGAGCAAGGAGCCTACCTGAGAACAAGTCTGCAGTTTCCACATGGGGCATGTGGCTGGCTTAATGGCATAATGGCAGGTCACTGGCTAAATGAATGAAATTCACAAGTCCCCTTTGCCAAGACCTTTCTTCTGATAGACACAGAATGAGGGAGTGGTTGAGGTTGGAGTGCACCTCTGGAGACCACCTACCCCAGCTCAGCAGGGTTAACTCCATCCTCAGAGCTTCATCCACTCTGGTTTTCAATACGTCTGAGTATGGAGACTCCAGTGCCTCTGCTCCACCACACACACAGGGACTGGGCGCTGACACAAAGACTACATAATCATTGACTTTCACAGCTGACCAGAGAAGCAAAGGCAAGAAAACTCATAAAATATGTATGACTTAAACCACAGCATGACTTGCAGTTTAGTACAATACAGTCCCTACCTAGTAATGCCCCAGAAATTGCTGAAACCAGAGCATATGCTCTAGTATAGTCAACCTATTGTTTTAATGTGACCTTCTGATTCAAAGTTCACATAAAGACTATCCATTTAACAGCTTCACTCTAATAAAAATTCAATGAAATAATCTTTTTAACTCTAAATCTCCGGTTTTCTGCTCACTTTTATGAGCTAAGTAGGAAATACAAGCTGCATCCTGCAACAATGCTTTAAAGAATCCCAGAGGCTGCTAGCTAAATCACTGCTCACTTTAAATATTCTGGTATATTCAGAAAGAGCTAGCTAATAGTTTGTATTTCTTTAATACCTGATCAAAAAATGAACTAGAATTTGCTGTTTATCCAAGTGTAACCCTGGTCTCCTATTATTAGGCTAATCATTGCTTAGAAAAAAATTGCTATAGTGTTTATCATGTTAGGATCAAGCTGATAAAACTCACCACAAGCCATTTAGAACAGAATACAACCCCATCAGCAGAAACTCTGACTTTTTGACTCATGCTATTTAAACGTCTGCTATGCGGAAAGTGTTGTTCATTGCTTCAGAGAACAGCTATACCATCCTTTGAGTGAGAAAAGTAATACAAGCAGATACATGCTGCAGTGGTTCTGACACAGAGCGAGGTCCCTGTCACTTCAGAACAGTAAGCAGCGATGGGAACATCATCTGCTCTGCACCATGTGTGGTGTCACTCACGAGTAAGTAAGGAAAATCGATTTCTTACTATTTGGGTTCACAGAATAGAGCCTAAAAATGTTCAAACAATATTTAGACACAAACACTTCCACATGAGAATTCCCTGGCCCTGTTCTGGGATTTCACTAAAGAAAATGTAGCTTTTTGATGCGCCAGATGTGCAGTATATTGCAAAATACGTAAGCAGAAATAAGTTTTATAGAGAAATACATGTGAGAGATATAGGCATACATTTTACTTACCATAGACAAAGTGTGGAATATTCTTCACCCCATTGTAACACTGCAAATGCATGAAAGAATTTGAAATGTGCCAGTGAACAGAAGGATTCTGCCCATTCTGTGCCGTATTTTTACTTACACTGTGAAGAAAGGTGAAAAGAGCAATCTTTCTACTGAATCCCTTTTGAACACAAACTCCATCGCGTTCACCTAGCTGAAACATAACTTAGGTTAATGGTGCCACCTGGTGACAAGACTTACTCGCTGTTCCCATACCTTGTCAAGCAAAAGAAACTCATCTGCTCTAAATCTTCCCCTCGAGAGTAACCCCCTAAAAAACCTGCATCACCTCCAGCACTTGCTTGCCCTAAGGAGCACAGTGTACTGGACACATAGAAAAAACAATGAACAATAGAAAAGAAAATATCTTACAGGCTTCCATTGTAGACACTACCACACACTTTGAGTTACTAGCTTGTAAGAGAATGCATGTAATAGCACACAAACAGGGAGAAATGACAGTGATTTATCTCAGCCTGCTGGTGATGGGGGAGCAGAGCATTTTGTCTAGCTCAAAAACTTCGTATTCACTGTGACAGTGTGTAAGACTTTGCTATCACCTACCAGGATTTTACTACTCCCATGACTGCAGCCCCTAAACAAAAAACACAGGTTCTTTACACCTTACCTGTCAGTGATGAGAAATTAACTCAGAGGCCATAAATTGCTCTGTGCATCTCTCCCTGTGCTGCAACACTGCTCAATATGATTGCAAAAAAACTTAAGGGGAGGTTCTTTTTGTGGGATTAGATTCCCAGCCTGTTTCCTCAAGGTAAATCAGGATTCACACTGCAGGTACCTGCTGAGGGAAGTACCTGGAGTGAAGAGGGAGCAAGTATTGGCCATGCTAAGCAGGGCTGGAATCCTTCCTCAAACAGAGGCAAGGTCAAGAGATGGAGTGCAGGAAAGACGTGAAGCCCGTTTGGTATCTGCCAAGGCATAAAACCAACCTATATTATATCACTATGTAATACATACAATTATATATATATAATAATAATAATAATATTATCTAATTATACTACTTTCTGTCACATGTATAAAATAGCAAAAAAATGTATATGTGGATAGCTTTAAAAACAGTTAATATTTAAAGAGGTGTTTGAAGGAGAGTAAAAGAAATGGAGATAGGAGCTTGTATTTTGCAGGAGATGCTTGGGCATAGAGAAAGACAAACTCAACAACATTTCACTCAACTTAGAGTTCTTAGAATAGTTGTACAATAAAACAGTTGTACAAGAGATAGGATTTGGGTTATGGATCATATTGATGATTTCTCTACAGCTTTGCTCATATGCAAAATACAAATTCCCAATAATCACAGCACAACCACCAGTCTAATTACATGACAATAACAGTTACACATGAAACCATGAAGTCATTTAGGAGTCTCATTGCAGCTTTCCTCCTACCCAGCTCTCACAGTATCCTATTTAGCACTTGTAGCTGCAGCACAAATGCTGACTGGTCCTTCCCATTTATACAAAAGAGGACATTAAACAGCACAAAGCTTATTTAAAGGTAGTATACTTGCTTCAGAGTTCTCCATGCTCACACAAGATTTGCTGATTTTTGCTAAACTCATCATTTTGGAAGGGCGCATTAAAGTACTGGTCAACTTCAAACGTATTCATGTGTTCCTGAAAAGAGGAAAAGTGCATCACTTCACCCCAGAACCCTTTACAGACAGGGATTTCCCTGCTATGGAACCTGATTAGGCACCTCCTTAATTTGACAAAAAAGCAATATCTCAGCTGAATGATGGATATTGTTCTCTTAGAAGCCCACTTCACAGAAGACAGTCACATGCTGCACATGCAAATTATACAAGTATCCATATGCTCCATTTATACAACTATTTAACCAAACTGGCACAATGAATACGTCTAGTTAGATAACTTGCAGTAAGTGTGCAGCTGTCTGGAAGGAGGTACAAAATCACCATCATGAAATCCAAACTGCAGCTGGCATTAATCAAAGCTTTGCCCTTGAACATTCATCACTGTGATATTGCTGTGACAAAGTGGACTTTTACTGCCGTTTGGGATGGGAAGATTTTACTTCCTTAAATAATTCAAGTTCTCTAGTGGTGCAGATGCTGTGAAAAAGGCAGTTTTCATGTTTGCTCTCAACACAGCAAATAAGCAGCGGAACACTAAAAATGCTGCGTATTTAAATGACAAACTTTTGCACGGTATGTAGGAAATCACTATTGAAAGTATTTGTCTTGAATGGAAAGTACACGTTTCTCAGATCAACGAAGTGGAGAAAATGCAGTCAGAAAAGATCTGATTGTTTGGTCACATGAAGATTTTTTACAATATTGAAAAAGTGGTGTAGAAACAGCTTTAGTCGAGATGAGGTTCTACGTCTAAAGATATGCCATTCACTACATCCTTTGACCAGCACTTGGGTTGGAAGGGACCTTTAAAGGCCATCTAGTCCAACCCCCTTGCAATAAGCAGGGACACCTTTGACCAGATCAAGTTGCTCAGAGACCCATCCAACCTGACCTTGAATGCTGACAGGGATGGGGCAGCCACCACCTCTCTGGGCAACCTGTGCCAGTGTTTCGACACTCTTGATTATAAAATATGTTTTCCTTATATCCAGTCTGAATCTCCCCTCTTTCACCTTAAAAACAATGCCCCTTGTCCTATGACTACAGGCACTACTAAAAAAATCTGTCTCCATCTTTCTTATAAGCCCCCTTTAAATACTCAAAGGTCACCATGAAGTCTCCCTGGAGCCTTCCTTTCTCCAGGCTGAACCAAGCCCAGCTCTCTCAGCCAGTCTCCATAGGAGAGGTGCTCCAGCCCCCAGAGCATTTTCATGGCCTCATCTAGATCTACTCCAATGGGTCCATGTCTTTCTTCTACCAAGGACACCAGAGCTGGATGGTGGGATCATACCAGAGTGAAACAGAGGGGCAGAATCACATCCCTTGACCTGTTGGCCATGTTCCTTTTGATGCAGCCCATCATCCAGCTGGCTTCCTGGGCTGTGTCAAGGCTTCACTTAAGACTATGAGCCATCATTACTTTCAGAGATGAATGACAACTTTCCAAAGAGTTCGGTTTTCATGTAGTTGCAAATAAAGTATGAGCCTTTTTCTGTATACATTGACTAGAAGTTAACCAGTGCTCTTCAGAGTCAACATGGTCTTTGTCCCTAGAGGCTAACAGGCCAGTGGATCTACCTGGATCCACTAAAGTCAAACCTTGCCACAAGAACGAGGTTTTGGGTGACTGCTATCATGCATGTTAGACTAGACAAATGATACACCTAAATAAGATCAGTAGGTACAACCTGCAGCAACTGAAGGCATATTCTGACAAAGCTTGTAAGGTATCTCCCAACACCCTCAATCACAAATTATGCCATGTAAATTGCACATGCTTGGGAACATCTTTTAGGACTGAGCTTGGATTCATACTTCTGAACTCTTTTAGCCTCCAGAACAGAGCAGCCACATACACTGATTTCTGGGGATGATCCCTGGGCTGTGAATCTTTCAGGAGAATGTTGGTTGGATGGGGCAAATCCTTGTCAGGAATCACTCAAGCAATTTTATAGTCTCAATCAGAAAATCCTCCTCTATGGAAACATGCCTGTTGCCAGGGTTATTCACTAATAAAGACATTTCCACATAGATTTCAGCTGTTAGTGTGTTCTCAGAGAGCAGTTTATTGGGTGGTGAGAGTGTGCACATGGGCAGTTCACTGACTTGCTGGAAATCCATACTCCTTTTATTTTAATAGAATATCTGGTTTTAATTTTGTATTCCCTTTAAAATACTGTTCATTATTGAATTAGAATCCATGAAGCCTGTTTATTCCATCATAATCAGTCAGACTGCATGTTATAAGCATGCATCCCCCCCAAAGCAAGACTGGCAGTAAAAAGTCTCATAGATGGCAGCTCCATTCACAGATAGACATAGATTTGTCCAAACTGTAAGAAAAATGCTTTCCAGTAGTTAAAAGATTTTTAAATAAGAATTTCTCATGAACAATGCAAAAATCCACATAAATATTAATAATTTGTACACCAAGAAAAACTCATTGCTCTCGTTTTCATATGTTCCAATTTCCAATTACTGCCTGACATTCTCTGACCCACTCTTGCTCTCGGTGGATCTCATATCCCATCTTCCACAATGAAGATAACAAAACCGAACAAGTACAGGGCCTCGAACTGGATCTAAATGTTCTCCAAGAGAATGAAGTCAGACAGTGCTTTCCATTATAACTTAAGCCTGACTGCCTAAATCCAGATGATCTCATGGTATATGATGTAAGCTCTGGATTCCTCAGTTAAGCTCTGTGTTCAGTCACAAGTGTCTTGCGAGGTCTTGGGTCAGTCACTAAAGCCTTTGTTTGGATGAGCTGGGTTTTACAATCAGTAAACAAAGTCCCAGCAGAGCCATGGGACTTCTCGGGAGGCTTCTGTGCTATTTAGATAAGGACATTAGATGTCTCATCCTCAGCAGGCACATGGAGTGGGATGCTGTTGAGGCCTCAAATGGAAGCACTGAACTCTAGCCAGATGCAGGGTTAGGAAGCACTGTACACAGTGTTCTTTATGATAAAATGTGGAATATTACTTATCTCCCTATTCCAGAGGAGGGCTGTGAATGTGTGGTCTTTAAAATAAAGAGGCAATCCTCTTTAAGACCATCTAAGTCTCCCAGGTTGGTTGTCCTTGTGGCAAACTCAGGTATAAACTCTCGGAATACAAAGTTCACCTCACACATCACATCCATTTTAGAATGTTTCATACACCTCGTGTTATGAGCAAAAACTAACAGTCTAAAAGGGCTCTCTAGCTCCTCATCTAATGACACTCTATACAGAAAAGCAGCTGGAGCTCCTGCTCATAAACACCTTGCTACAATTATAAGCTAAGCAAAAGAACTGGGCTTTCTAATCATAATAAACTACCAAGAAGAATGTGTGATAAAATCTAACAAGGTCTCTCTATATTGATTGTGTTAATACAAGCCTTTTAAATGACCATCTCCTGCAAAATGCCACACAACTAGTTAAGTGAAGAGTGCTTTTCTCAGGTTAAGTAGAGCACCTACACTGCCGCAATTACTGTGCTTTCGGAAAGCCTGTCCTGATTCCATCCCCATTCAAAGACGGGAAGAGAAATCATGTCAGCATTACAGCAAGTTTTGTGCGATCGTTCTCAAGTGCATTTAGCGAGCGGTGGAAACGGGCAGGCAAAAGAGCTCCAAATAAACACACACAGCATTCTGCGCAATCATCGTGCCTCTCATCCAAGGGCTTCGGTGCATTTGATAAATATTCATTAACTCACACACTGCTGCTTTGAAGTAGGCAAGGGATGTATTTAAGTATCACTTTGTTTGCTACTGAAATGCATTCCCGCTTTCCACTCTTGACTGGGATGCTGCAGCTGCTTAACAACACACATTAATATTAAATAAGAGTTTTAGAGAAGCAGCAAGGCATACTTAATCCAAAAGAAACCCCAGAGGGATTTACACAGGCAGAAAGCAATTACTTAAAGCAACGGCTCCCAAATTCCCTGGGTGATTTTGTTCTCCTTCATTTAAATCTGCTGTGGATGTTAATATTGGAGGATCTTGCAGGCAGCCTGTCACATCTGAGCTGCAGATAGGGGAACATTGGTACAGAATCTGGGCCAGAATTGGTAGAATCTTGCTTTTATGCTGACAAAATAATCCAGGGGATTTAAGTGATCACAGCATGATCATATTTAGTTTTAATACTGCTGGAAGAGTATATGAATAGCGGCTGGATTTCAGAGGATTCAATAATTAAACCCTCAAACAGCTAGTCCATGCACCCAAACACTGCCTAACTGGTGAGACCTTACTTTCAACACATCCCACCCAGTGTGGAGTAGCATACTGAGCAATGGTCATCGGCTGGCTCAGGGTTTCTGCCCCATTTCTCATGGTGGTTCCATCAGTGGGGACATCTCCTGCCAGGGCAGGGAACTCACCACTTGGAAGTCACAATCTGGGGGAAAAACATGGTTTGCGCAACATCAACTCAGCCTCATGCCCTGCATCATGGGGAAACCTCTTCACAGTCTCACAGTGCATCTAGCTGTCTCAACAGGAAGACTAAGCTAGAATCATAGAACCATAGAACAGTCAGGGTTGGAAAGGACCTTAAAGATCATCCAGTTCCAACCCCCCTGCCATGGGCAAGGACACCTCACACTAAACCACATCACCCAAGGCTCTGTCCAACCTGGCCTTGAACACCGCCACAGATGGAGCATTGGGCAACCCATTCCAGTGCCTCACCATCCTCACAGTGAAGAACTTCCTCCTTATATCCAATCTAAACTTCCCCTGTTGAAGTTTGAACCCATTACCCCTTGTCCTGTCACTACAGTCCCAGCATCCCTATAGGCCCCCTTCAGACACTGGAAGGCTGCTATGAGGTCGCCATGCAGCCTTCTCATCTCTTCAAGTTCTTGCTTGAGCAGATGGAAACAATTAGAAAAGATTCAGATTCATAACAAGACAGAATGTGTCAAACAGCCATTCAAAACCTGCAACAGTGCAGCAGAAACCAAACAGAAAGAGCAGACAGCTTTTTTTTACTGTGAAATATCATCACCAGTCTCTTCTCCTTGTGGCTAAAAGAGAGGGTGTTTCAACAAGATCGGTATAAGCTTGGTACATAACTATATCTACAAACTGCTTTACTATTTCAATAGCCTCTGTTGGAATGAGTGGAAGCATTTTGCCAAGGAAATCTCCAGTTATCCCTGTAAATATGTCATTTAAATACACTTCTGTACTTCAAATGCCATTTTTACAGGCTTTTCCTGAACTGTGTTTAAGAAGTTTAACCAGCCAGCCTGTTCCGACAGGCTATCCAAAGCATTTGCTTGGTTTTACACCAAATCCACATCAGGGCTTCCAGTCTCAGTACTAGGATTATAGTAACAGCTTAACTTGTACTTGCTTATTAACCAGAAACAATTTTGGCAGGCAAACCAAACATTTATCTTAATTGGAACCATCCCATCTTTATTTTTCCATTACATTAATAAATGAAGTCACCAGATGGCCCTCTTAGGATCATTGAGATGGGAT